ACCTTTCCTAGATACCACAAACGGCAAGTAAGGTTCTGCGACACTGACCTTTTTATACCGCTACCCACCACGACAACATCGGTATAGCGACTCTGAGAATCTCAATCTGCTAGAGAAGAACTCAGTGGAATCTCCTTGTATCCTGCAAGCTCTAGAATCCCTGAAGATCCTGAAGAATTCAATGTGGTTATCCGGTCAACTTAGAAGAGACAAATCTGAAACCTCTAGTGTGTCTTCAACAAAACGCTAACTCCAGATGGAAGCAGAGGCGAATAACAAGATTTTATGCGAGCGAATGGTCGAGCAGGAAGTGACCTTTGATCACGAGAGAATGCTAACACGACGCACATACAGTCTGTACCTGTGCACCACTTCACTGAAATCCGAGAACAACTACGAGTAACAGCAGTTTATACTTTGTAGGAAAATCTGTGGGATGCCAAAAACATGAAACTTCTCCCAGTGCTAAGGAGCCAAGCGTTCCGCTTGTCTTATATAGACTTCGAGATGCGCGCAGGTAGAGCCCTGCACGAGCAGCAAAAGTGCTGCTCGACTCGCTCGTTTCAGCTTTCTGAAACTTCCTGCTCGCTCAGCTCGCTCGCGCCCAAACCGCCGCTCGCTCAACTCGCTCGTTTTCCAACTTTTCTTTGCTTCCGCTCGGTCAACTCGCTCGTAATTTTATTTTGGCAAATCGGCTCGCTCGTGAGATCGGCAAAAATTTAAGTATCAATTTTTTGCACGAATTAATTATACCAAACTTTTCACCAACACAAAAACTCAGGAAGTATAACAGGATGTTCAGAGGCAATCACTTGAATCTCCATACTGGTAGTCCGTTTCATTACAGTTTCATTTTTTCGCTAATACCTTTCTCTAATTTTCAACTGGATGTAGTTTTCTTAATTTAGCCTGAAACAAATACATACAATAGAATGCCCGAAAATTAAAATGCACCTTTCTTAGGAAGCCTTCAATTTATTCATAAACCCGTCAAATAATGTTTTTGTTAGCTACAGAATATCAAAACTCAGTCCCGAGTCCCAACCGGTCTAGGAAATTTAGTAAATCACTTCGCGCGAAGCGCGAAGGTGACGGTGGTTTAGGACCGTTTTCAGGTCGGTCAATGTAATTTTGTACTAGAAACTTCTCCAGCTCGCACAATGTCAGCCTGTAGGCTCGCGATCGCTCGCACCCGACCATCCCGCTCGCTCGACTCACTCGCAATTTTTTTTCTGTTGCTCAGCTCGTTCGCAAATTCGCAAAACGATGCCTGCTCGCTCGAAGTGCTCGCGAGCGCCGAGCGCTCGCGAGCCGAGCCGAGCGGCTCGGCTCGTGCAGGGCTCTACGCGCAGGCATCGAGCATGCGTCAAACAAATAAAGATGTTTGTAGCTGGCCATTGACTACAAGTCTACAACCAGGAAATCAACAGCATTGGTCAAACGTAGATCCGCGTCATCCGAAGTAAATAATTCAGACAAGTTTAATTTAAGTAAAACAAGTATGTACAAATAAGATATAAATTAATAAAGGAATAAAGGATAAGCGACAAAAGTACAAAGATGTGTACAAGGAGTACCCACACCGGTATACGTCAATATTCTGTAATCACATTTGCTCTTTTTTGTAACGAATCACCGGAACAAAATGCATGCATTCTAACTTCGCCTTATGCGGAATTGCGTGCATCTTGTGTAATAAAAGTGGTTTATGGAACAAAACCGGTTTATGGAACAGAAATACGTATGGAAGAAAATACGGGATGTGGGCCCGAGCTGATTCGTGGTGAATTTCTATGCAAGAGAATTTATTACTTATCAAATCAATAAAAAATTAAACAATGATTGGAAAAGATACTACATGGATTATTTTTTGTTACTTTTATCGAAATGAGAGCATATCTTGGTAGTCGTTGGTGGTAAAAAACCCACTGTTCTACGTTATTCCCACAAACTAGAGTCCGCACCGTACACTACTCCGTCATTCTGAACGCTGTGCGGCAGTTAATAGCCACGACCGTTCACGTAAAACCGGTGGAATTCTCTTCGATTACTTATGCAATTTTTCCGGCAGAAACAAAAGAATTATGATACTTCCGTTATGAAACTACAGCACAGCAGCAAAATTTTCGAAACGCCCATTTGTTGCCGCGAAGCATACTGGAAAACGCGCAACGCACCAGCAACGAACAGCCATATAAACTTGATCCATACAATTATACACACAGCGGTTTTCGTATTTTTCTCAATAATAACAAAAACAATTGTTTTAAAATTGTGAGAAGTCGTCGATTGTTAGGATGATCATGTTTTCAGCAAATCTGACGAGTTGTGCTAATTTTACTGATTTGTTTTCCTCATAGCTGCATGCTCGTCGACTAAAAGCAAAGCACTGTACAGCAATGCAACGATGTTTTCCCTCGTGCTGCATTTTTTGGGACCATTTTCGTGGGAAATGCAATTTACAAGCAAAACAAAATAATAGCAATACAAACAAACGCTTTGGGAAACCAAAAAGAAAAAAAGCATTAGAAAATACTTTGTTTCTCAAGCAGACACGCCCACTCGTTTCACATGGTGGACGTGGTGTGGTTCAGTTTCCGTGTGAAGCCGCACCGGCTCGTCTCCGCGGCGTGATCGTTGCCGTTCCTGTCGCGTTTCTGTGCTTTTAAGGGAATCTACAAAAAAGAGCACTAAAAAGTGATATTAAATGTAATTATTTAATTCAATAACGCATTATTTATTTATTCGAATTGTCAATTAAATAAACTAATTAAAGGTCTCTCAGTGAAAGATCGCAAGAGGCCGGACGTGATTACTCTTATACCGTGGGAGCGCGGTAAACCGCTTGCTATTGACGTGACCTGCGTTGACACACTCGCTGCTTCGTATATCGACCGCACCTTTCTGAACGTTGGAGCCGCTGCCGAGCTGGCGGAACGGGCCAAACTGATCAAACACGCCTGGCTTTTACCAAGATACAACCTCACAGCGGCAGCGATTGAAATTTACGGACCATGGGGGGACGGTACGAAAATGCTCGTTGACAAGGTTGGAAACGGGATAGCAACCGCCACAGGCCAGAAGCGGGCGAAAGAGTTTTTTAAGCAGCGGCTATCTGTTCAAATTCAACGAGGAAATGCTATATGTGTGATGGGTACAATCCCCGATCAGGATAGCATTGAGGAAGTGTTTTTCTTATGAATTTGTGTTGTTTCGAGTACTTAGTTAGTACTTACGAGTGATACTTATTAAAGGTGACCGACCCCACTAATTAAATTTTAAATAAAAACAAATGTTATTAAAGTTATAATTATTATTATTCCTACAATCATTAATAATCGATCACATAAAATAAAAGTACGTTGAAAAGAAAACCTAAGAAAAGAAAGTAAGAAAAAATGTAGGGAAACACTGTACAGTGGGGGAACTCGGAATCCTGGACACTTCAGTCGCCTCGCGCGATGAGGATGAAGCGAACGCCGTGGGTGGGCGTAACTGCGACAGACTGTCGCCCGGTCCGAGGGTGGTGCGGGCGTAAATCAGCGCCGCGATGTCCTTATGTTGCGCCTCCAACGCCACGTATAGGGCACACATCCCATCCTGTATCCCATGAAAATAATTGAAAATGTTGATAATTCATAAAGAATCACGAAAATTTGTAAAGAATCAATGCCGGAAAAGCATTCGACAAAAACGAATAAAATCCTCGAAGTTTCAAAGTATCTCAGACTTTAAAAACTTATTTAGGAAGCTGTTATATTTTCCCTGAGAACACCAAACCGCCAACTGGGAATTTTTGCGTTTTAATCTAAAAGAACATTGCAAGAAACGTTCATTTCTGTATGTACACACCTGTACTACCCAGTACGAACATGAGTATTCTGAATGGAAAATCAAAGTGACACTGTCCGTAGACAAAGTGCAAAATTATCTAGAAAACTTATTAAATAAAATGGATCTCAAATTAAAGAATTATTATTATTAAAAAAAATCTATCAAAATATTTAGTTTTGAAAAAATTTCTGTTTCCATCTAAAGTGGCTCTTAATCGGCTTAACTAATTCTGAGATTTTAGAGTGCGTTTAGAGAGACGTTCAGCTGAACGAAAAGCAACCTTAATCCCATGTACTACGAACATCAGCGATGGGTGGTTTGAAGAGCAATCTGCACTAGTACGACTGCCAAAAACTAAGCCAACTATTACCGCTAAATCATCACCAATTTTTAAGAAGACATGAAACAGCAAAAGTGCGGGATTGATAACGCGAATGAAGACAGAATTCGTGGGGCACCTTATCAGTGAGATGGGCGTCGGTGTCCGGATGGCCTAACAACAACCGGACGATCTCCAGGTGTCCGTGCTCACAGGCGCACATCAGCGCCGTCGAACGGTCGTCGTCCTGATCACACAACCATCATTAAACTCCCTGGACTCAGTTGCCGAACATTTTTATATTGCGTTTCCAAGAATCTTTACGAAGAAAATCACAGGCAAGAATTATTAGAAAACTTCCCTGGATGTTAACGTCCGCGCCGACCTGCAGCAGCAGCCGCACCGTGTCCAACCGGCCATGACTCACCGCCAGCATCAGCGCCGTTTGTCCATGCTGACAAAAATTTAACATAAATGTTCGGAATTTTTAATTTTTTTTATTTTAATTTATAAGAGATGGCTTTCCATGCTTTTTTCAACAAACTTCTCGACAGTTCAGTAAATCAGCCAGAATTTAAGTTTTCAGCCTTGTCACCGACCTGATGTGCTTTGCGGTGATGTCGCCGAGTTTGAAGAGCCTGGCGGCGACCAGCTGGTCGGTGTTGGTGGCCAGATGCGCCAGCGAGGCCAGCATGGTGGCCGTGTATCCGGCGCGGTTGACGCTATCCACGTCGCAGACTTTGGAGTCCAGCAGGACGCTGACCACGTCCAAGTGGTTCTGCGAGATGGCGTAGTGCAGCACCGTGTAGGTCCGTGTTGCCCTGTCCATACAGTTTCAACGTAACTTGCGGTTGATTTTCTTGTCCTACCCGTGCGGTCGTTCAGTTGACCAGCTACAGATATACTCGTAGTAAGTGAATGGCTGATGGTCGTTCAAAGTGGCCACCATTCATTAAAAATTCTAGAAATGGATTTCCTTCCGGTTTTTTCCTTTGAAGGTTCCAGATTTTTAAAAATTCATAGTACTACGTATAGTGTGCGTTACGCTGAAATGCATAAAGGACAAAAATGGAAGGAATCGGTTTGTGGAAGATGTAATTAAAGGTGGCCACTTTGAACGACCTTCTCCCATTCACTTATTATAGCACGAGCGTACGGTAGTTTTAATTCTCCACAGGAAGTACTCTGAACTAATTTCGCGGTTTACTCGATGCAGATCAGGTGGTCTGAGACTCGCATAAAACAAAACAAAAAAGATTTTGAAGTGTCAAAGCTAACGCACCATAACTGAATCGAAAGAGCTCCATGTTACACTAGTTTTGCGTCCGTGACCAGTACCGCCCATGTACTACGAACATTTGACATGCACACATTCGTTTAGGACTTGATGCGTCGCAGGGGAGTCAATGAAACGACTCAGGTACAGCCGTACAGGTACAGTAATAGAAAATGGAGAGCGTAAATCTCTTGCCGGCAAAATGTTTTTTCGGTACAACATTTTTACGAAGAAACTTCCCAGTTATGAAAAATATTCAAATTAAAACCGCGGCGCGGGATCGCTTAGAAATACCGTTTCAGCGTGAGTCTATATCGAAAGAAAGCGGTTCTTATGAGCGAGCAGGCTCTGTTGGTCATTAAATTAGTTTCCAGTTAAAGCTGATGTTGATAATATACCGAAATCAACGTACATTGTTATCAGCCAAATTGACGACTTTGTGCAGTAAGGCCTTGGACATTCCTTCAAAAGCGTCGAGGTAGTCGTTGACCAGTTGGGCGTTGGCGTTCTTCTGGCCCGCCATCCGGAACCACTCCTGCTCGATGATGCGGATACACCGATCCTGTTCGATTAAAGGTCCATTAGAAAAGGAGAAAATATATAAATCAAATGGACCTTACGATTTTATTGGTGCGCTTTCTTAGCGATCCATTCACGCTGGATTCGCTGCTGCGCGAATTCGAGCGTCCTTCGCGCTGCAGGTAGTCGTTGAGGACTTTGCAGGCGGCCATCACTTACTTCTTCGCTGATCACACCGCCAAAAAGGTTACAAATGCTCGAATTATAATTTAGAGAATAAAATTAGTAAATGACCAAGAACGCCAAACCAAGAGGAAATATTTCAGGTAGGCAATAAAATGCCTCGAAAAATCAAGGTAGGCAATAAAGGCACCAGTTGCGTGCTTTTTAAGTTACTGAACTTGAAGAAACTCAATACATAACACACACAGAAAAAAACCTATAACATTTTGTTTTCAAGTTTGTTTTGTCACGAAATAAGGTTAACCTATACTTCCCATAAGTACAAAGCAATTCCACATTAAAAATTTAAGAAAACCTAAATAAAAAACTTTTTCATTTTTCATGTTCTCCTAATTACTTTTTGAAACCTATAAGAAAATATCAGCCCTTGAAAATATTAAAAATTATTAAGATATTATTTCAAAATATTCACTTACTAATGCAGACAAGCTTCGCAAAACAGAAGAAAAAATATAAACATTGAGCAGGCGCACCACCAAATATAAACTAATTTAATTCAGAATCAAATACCAACCGTAGAGCAAATAACGTCATTAGCCAAATAACGTCATCAGCAAATAACGTCACAAGAAATCAAAGCCGACAAAACTCTTGCGCCACTTACACCGCTTCGTAGTCATCGAAAGTGAAGATCTTGGCCACACTGGGCCTCTCTTCCACCCCACACTTGTTGGACAAATATCCGTGTCGCAGATCGTAGCTGCCCTCGTCCTCACTCAGCTCCTCCGAGTGTGTTGACACTGCCGGCGACAGCGGATCATCTTCGCTCAATGGACGCACCACTTCGACAGTCGGTGTCAATTTCTCGCTGCTCTCATCGTCCTTTTCGTTTTCCCCCACTGATTCCGTTACTTCCTGCTTGGCCGCTGATTTCTCACCATTGTCAACATTATCAGTTGATTTTCCGGCTGTTTCCTGGGCAATCTCGGGCTCCACGATCAATAAAGGATTTTCGTAGGCGTTTGCCGGTACGGGTTACTTTTGCCGGGAATTTAGGCGTTTTTATGGGGAATTCGTCTGGAGGATTTTTTTGGGGTGCGGAAAATTGTGCGGGTGGGTGTTGGCGTGGTGGTTGGCAGGGGGTCGGTGTTGGAGGCGGTTTCCGTGGTTTCTCCGAGTGGTGTCCAGGTTTCGGTGGAGATCATCGCCGGTGAATCAGTGCCGATGCCGAAATCAACTAATTGCGGTGATTCGATCGATAACTGTTCGGCTTCCTCAGGTTCACAGTTACCGGAATCAGCGAGGGATGCGTCTTCCAAAAGGTCATCTGTAATACGAATATTGTAAAAGTGGCAAGGAAGCCCGAAGCAAAACCGTGCATTACAGCGATGCAACCGAAATTGGCTGTTCTGCCCCAGTGGAAACAGGCACTTTCACAAAATACGAGTATTAAGAAAAATATGAGCCCAATCAAGCCGGCTAAAATTCGAAGCAGTCAACTTTTTGCAATGCACATTCCGCCATAATTTAAAAAAAAAACATAGCCTTCAGAAAATCGAATTAATTTGCCGGCTTATAAATTGAGTGATAGCGCATAAGAATATGCTAAGGAACAACCCGTACAAGCAGCCACTGTCCTACGCCATCACGTAGTTCTACAGCATACGCACGTTTGGTTAGTACAATAATTTACAGCGGCAAATAAAGCTAACACAGAACTGAAAAGCGGCCGCAAGAAAAAGCAAAATCAGTACCAGTGCACACCAGTAAAAAACAGTTCATTAAATTACAGTTGCGCAATTACGGATATGTCAAAAGGGAATTTTTGCATATTAAATACTGTTATTATTTGTTGCGTTAATTGACATAATTCGCTAAGGCCAATAAATGCTAGGATGGAAAATTTATGCGCAATGTTGTAGTTTAGTGGCACCCAAAGAAAAGGGACCATTGATTGAGAAAGTTGCACACAACCATGTTCATATATATTACATAGCCTCCCGGGGTTAGTATTACAAATAAATGCGCTAATTCCACTTTAAATGTTTTTTCCCACACCCCTGTGATAAAATTCGGCAACAAAAATTTTCAGAAACATATCGAAAAATTAAGTCTGCCTATCAGTCTGCATTTTTAACACTGATGCACGTATTTAATTGATTTCAGCTGTATAATTATTTGCGATATAGCCGGATCCGCCGAATCAAGCCAATACACTACGATGATTTACAAATTTTCAACAACTTTTACTGCTGTCCATGAGCTTAATCATAGGTGTACAAAAACTAAATGCTAGTTTTTTCTGCATTCATTAGAAATCTCTGTTTTTCTAAATATTTAAAAACAATAGGCAAATCAATAACACGACCTACGGGGCTGTCCACGGAAACCATGACCAAAGAATTTTACTTACCAGTGGCCAGTGTCTCCCTCATGGTTTCCGTTGACATCCAGACTGCTGCGTGGTCGCGCCGCGGCGGCGGTCTGGGCAATCTCCAGCAGCACATCGTCCAGCACGCTCATATCCGGCATTTTCAATGACGCTCAACAGCGACACCACTCGCGAAACGCTCCCCAGAGGATCGCGAAATTGTCTAATGCTCCCGCATCGGTACAATCAATAGGGCTTGTCCCGTATTTATTCCTGTACGCAGGGGTTTCCTCGCCGATTACTGTCCAGCTGTGGCAGAAAACAATCGGCACTGTAATTGTTTGTGATAAAAGAATTATGTCTAAATTCCTCGTACCGGGTGGCTGAACAAAATGGCCGTCTCCTGTTTTCGTTTGTTTTTCGCAGACCCTTCGTCGCACCGTAAACTCTTTAGGCTCATTCGATAGAGAACTTTATTAGCCACAACAACAATTTTATTAGTTTCATTTAGCAAAATACGTTTTCTTTCAAAAGAAAAAAAAGTTGTGGTCATGCTGCATACGCTGAACGAGTTATGCAGTCAAGCATTGTGACTTTTTCGAAAAATGCCGGTTTTTTATTGGTATTTTCGAGTATTTTCGGTTACAATTTTTGGCTGCATGACAGGTTGCACCAAAAAATGCAGATTAAACTTTAAAATGTAGCTGACACACTGCCCTTTTTTAAACAAAATTGGCACCAGTAAAGATCCGTACCAATGGTGCATTCAATTGCACCATTGGTGCATGCATGTGCACTTTTGCTGCATGTACCATTGTTTGTGTACTTACTTAGGTGCTAATAAATCATACAATTTTCTCGTCGCCGACTTGTAGTACTATGGTCAAGTACCAATTGCTTTGTTTATCGACGTACCGTGTAATGCACTGTTGACTGATCGCTGCCGTCGCACCGTCCGTATTGGTGCAATATTAATTATTTATGGCAGTGCTGTAATTGTTACCCTATTGTTTGTAATTCCCCATCTCGCCGTGCGCCCTGGTGCAGTTCACTGGTACTTTCTCATCGTGCGGTCGATATTGGGTATTGATTGCACAAGCGTGTAATACCCAAGCCCCTGGGTAACAGCTGTGGACAGTGATCAGGAATGCAGGTACCATTGACAGCGATTGACACGTCATTGACAGCAAAATTTAATGTTGCAAAACTTGCAGTTATTGTGTAGAGGTCGTCGTTCTGAACGCTAAATACTATACTGGCATTTACACACCAAATTTTGTACGTCACATACTGTGTCGTGCAAATACTATCTAATTAAATATACACTCCCATTAGTAATTTTGCAATATGTTAACCTTTGCAGAGCGCTAACGTAGGCACTGTACTATAGTAGTTACTGTACTGTTAAGTACTTCTATATTAATTTAGTTGTTGTTGTCTATAAGGTACAGCTTGTTAATCGAAGTGCTTTACATATTGCTTTGCATACTGTGTTGCCTGGAGACAGTACTGCTGGCTTTCTGTTCAGCAATACTTCTAAAGTGCACCTGTTCTTTCAAAGTACTGCTGCGCCAAGTGACCTTTCCGGACAACGCCGAACAAGCCGAAACGGACGATCAAGTGCTGAGGCATTTTAAAAGTATTGCAGCACTTTGAAAGTACAGCAATACTTTTAAAGTACAACAGTACTTTCAAAGTATTGCTGTGCCAAAGTGACCTTCCCGAACAACGCCGAACAAGCCGAAACAGACGATCTAGCGCTGGGGCATTTTAAAGTATTGCAGTACTTTGAAAGTACAGCAATACTCTGAAAGTTATCCTGTACTTTTAAAGTATTGCAATACTTTTAAAGTACAACAATACTTTTAAAGTATAGCAGTACTTAAAAACCCCTCAGCGCTTGATCGTCTTTTCGGCTTGTTCGGCGTTGAAGGTCACATTGTTAACAGCACTTTAAAGTTACTGTTGCACTTTGACAAGCCGAAACAAACGATAAAGCCTTGAGGCATTTTAAATTATTGCAGTACTTGGAAAGTACAGCAATACTTCTAAAGTACAACTTTCAAAGTATTATACTGCTGTGCCAAGTGACCTTCCCGAACAACGCCGAACAAGCCGAAACAGAAGATCAAGCGCTGAGGCGTTTTTAAGTACTGCAATGCTATAAAAATAATACTTTAAAAGTACTGCTGTAATTTAAAAGTACTGCAATACTTTAAAAGTACAGGAATACTTTTAAACTGACGACTAAGTGCTAGGGCATTTGAACGTATGGCAGTACTTCGAAAGTAATGCAATACTTTGAAAGTATTGTATTACTTTCAGTAAGAAGGTCACCTTCCCGAACATCCCCGAACAGGCCGAAACTGGCGATTAAGTGCTGGGGCATTTGAAAGTATGGCAGTACTTCGAAAGTAAAGCAATACTTTTAAAGTACTGCATTACTTTCAGTACCAAGGTGACCTTCCCGAACATCCCCGAACAGGCCGAAACTGACGATTAAGTGCTGGGGCATTTGAAAGTACGGCAGTACTTCGAAAGTAGAGCAATACTTTTAAAGTACTGCATTACTTTCAGTACCAAGGTGACCTTCCCGAACATCCCCGAACAGGCCGAAACTGACGATTAAGTGCTGGGGCATTTGAAATTACGGCAGTACGTCGAAAGTAATGCAATACTTTAAAAGTACTGCATTACTTTCAGTACCAATGTGACCTTCCCGAACATCCCCGAACACGCCGAAACTGACGATTAATTGGTGAGGCATTCGAAAGTACGGCAGTACTTCGAAAGTAGAGCAATACTTTTAAAGTACTGCATTACTTTCAGTACCAAGGTGACCTTCCCGAACATCCCCGAACAGGCCGAAACTGACGATTAAGTGCTAGGGCATTTGAAAGCATGGCAGTACTTCGAAAGTAATGCAATACTTTGAAATTACTGCATTACTTTCAGTACCAAGGTGACTTTCCCGAACATTCCCGAACACGCCGAAACTGACGATTAATTGCTGAGGCATTTGAAAGTATGGCAGTACTTCGAAAGTAATGCAATACTTTGAAAGTATTGTATTACTTTCAGTAACAAGGTCACCTTCCCGAACATCCCCGAACAGGCCGAAACTGACGATTAAGTGCTGGGGCATTTGAAAGTATAGCAGTACATTTTTTCATTCACATTTTGACCTGCAAAGTATTGCATTAATTTGTAGATAAAGCAGTACTTTAAAAAGCAGTACTTTGTACTTTAAAGCAGTACTTTATCTTTTGCAGTTTAAATGTATGGTATACGTATACATAACCCGAAAGAGTATGTTTTACGTTGTCAAATAGCTTCGATTATATTGTCTTTAGTCATATGATGAGAATGGATCAGACTTTGAAATGCTTGATGCATGCCATCATACCGTCAAGTAATTCATCTCATGGCCGCTTACCAATGAATTCAGCAAATGCACCACCACCAGAACGATTTGCAGGGCCACACCCAACCCACGCTTTCACCCCGCTGATTAATTACTTGCCGGTATCGAATGGGCAATCCATACAAATCGCTCCAAGTAGTGAGCGCAAAGACCACTACCGACCCGTCGAACCAATTCGTGTCCAGAATATTTCTCCAGTCGCAGTCGCCGATCCCAAAGAGCCTATGGGTATACCGGCACCGGACTTTCAGCTTCCAGTTCCTTCCACACTATGAGATCGCTCCCGCTTCATATTGACAACATAGTTCCCGAGTCGACACCATCCAGTGGCCGATCAAACCACACCACAGTGCTGGTTGCCAATGCAGCAGCAGCCCTTCCTGGTGAAATAGTATGGGTGTCGCAACATAGTGTCCGTACAAGCAGCAATCCTGCTGTTAATCTGGGTGCCCAAACCTAACCCTCCCAGAACCCCAACCCCCTGACGCGGCACCGGCTA